CCCGGCCGCTCAGGCCCGACAAAAGCCGAGAGGCCGAAGATTGTGGCTGAGTTTCAGCAGCTGCGGCAGTTCCTGGAGGAACAAGAGCAACTCCTGCTGGCCCAGCTGGAGAAGTTCGATGAGGAGATGGGGAGGTTCGAGACTGACACTTTCAGGAAACTCTCCGTGCAGATTTCCCGTCTCAGCGAGCGGATCGGTGAGCTGGAGGGGACGTGTCAGCAGCCAGCAAGTGAATTCCTGCAGGTGAGACTGAGGGAGAAACATCCCAGCTCCCCATGTAGGGAAGGGAGGCTCCTGAATCACAACTGCTGGAGCCCAGCTGTCAGATCTCAGCGTAACACCTTGTGCATTGCTGCCCTGTGAATGTCTCTTGTGCTTTGTAGAGTTACAGGCACAGAGCTATTAGAGATGGCAAAGCCCTATTTGCTCAGAGGATCCATGTTCCTGGGGCCAGAGCAGGGCCTCTCTTCCCAGGTTTGCAAAATCCCTTCCCTAAGATCCCCTGTGTGTCCAATAGGGCTGAGATTCTTTTCTGTGTCTTTTTTTTCTAGGACGTCAGAAGCACCCTGAGTAGGTATGTGGCTCTCACTCCCCTCACACTGCACAGAGCAGGGAAAGGGCTTGGAGCTGATGTTAGCACCACATCTCCCCAGGGCTCTACAGTCACATGTTAAACATGCAAAAGCGGCGAGGAGTCCTGTGGCACCTTATAGACTAACTGAAGTGTTGGAGCATAAGCTTTCATGGGCAAAGACCCACTTCATCAGATGCATGTTAAACATGAATATCTCTGATTCATTTCGTTCTGAGGGTCTCATCCTCGCATTTTAGATTCTGGAATTCCCCAGTCAGGGCAGAGTCTGACCAAGTGTTTTCTAGAACTGTCACTTCCCTGGGGACTGGCTGCCTCAGGACTGTGGGTGAAACATGGGCCTGTCACAGCTGGGCACATTCAGCCCAGGGCATCAGGGACCAAGAGTCTGTCCCTCCCGAGGGCTGTTTGGAGACCTGTGTGAAAGGAGCTGGGGAGAGGGGAGGTGGTGTCTCGGACTAGTCCCTAGTAGACAAATTCCTTCACCCCTTCACCTGAGTGTCTCCTATCCCTGAGTGTCTGGAGGCAAAGGAGTGAGTTGACCATGGAGAATCAATTCCTCTTCAGTCCCCCAGCCAGTCTCCCCAGGCTGGAAGTGAAGAACAGAAATGGGACCTTTGAGGGGAAGGTTGCATGGCTGTGGGATGCGTTGCCCCTGCTGTCAGGCTGGGAGAATTGGAGGAGTTCTAACACCAAGCCTGTTAGAGCTGAGACTCATTAGCCAGAACTTACCAGCAGTAAATGAAATACAATCACATGGAATTGTTTCTGTCCAGGTGTGAGATGGGGCAATTCCAGCTGCCCGAGGAGATTTCCCCTGAACTAGAAGAACAAGTCAGCAGTTTCTCCCAGAAAACGGTTGCTCTGTCGGATATTTTGAGGGAGTTCAAAGGTACCTAGAAGGGATGGATGAGGGGAAAGTGGTTCAAGTATCTGAGACTATTGAATCAGACTATTGAAGCCAACCTTCCTCTGCCTCAATTCCCACATGGAGAATGACGGCCCCATCACTCTGCTCTCCTTAGAGACACTGAGCGAACAGACCCAACTGCTTGCAGATAGAGCCAGGAGTTTGCAAACTCTGAGCCTCCCAGTCTGAGATCAAAATATCTAAAGTTACTTGTTCAGGGCGGCAAATTCCTTTTCCTAAAATTGGGATTCACACATCGGAACTTGATCCTGTAGGGAATAATTCTGGACACACTGGGTGCAGGTGAAAACAAGCAGAGGATTTATTGTACACCAGCGCTGGTAGAGTACCACCCAGGGGTTAACCTGGTTAGCACTAACTTAATCAAAACATGCATTAGATTATATAGGCAGCAAATGGATGGAGGGGAAGTCATTTGATAGGTCTAGTGGCAGAAACATAATGAGCACGTGAGCCAATAAACTACAAGGTTATACAGTATCTCCGCCCATTGCCAATTAAAGAGGTTATCAATAATACAAGTAGTTATTCCTAACACGCTAAATGAGCCAATATAAACAAAGGCCCGTTGGATGGCAACTCTGTCTCCCGGAAATATAATACGTCTACTGAGGGGGTGATATTTCCTTGGATTGGCGCAGCCTTTGGGATCCAAACTTTTTTTAGGAATATAGCAGACAGTGAAACTAATTCCTGCACGGTTTGTTTATGCATAAGTCTGGCTCTTATCAGAGTGAGGCCCTCTTGTAATGTGGTTGCCATGGCAACCAAGGTCAAGTTAACTGCTTATGCTGTAAATTCTCAAGCCTTGAATTTAGGATTTGAATGGCAATTCTCAGCAAGATACCATGGACTGCCTCAGTTTGCCCCTACAAAGTGAATGAGAATCCAAGAGGAAGGGGGTGAGGAGGAAAGAGTAAATTTCATTTACAGCTTCTCTCCTGGAACTGGTGTGAGGCTGCAGGGATATTGGTTCCATAGCTAGGAAGTGCCCGAATTAGAAAGGAAATGAAAGTTTCAGACTCTTACATACTAAATTCCCGAGTGTGTCTCTATCTGGTCTCTGGTACAATTGAAACAGAGTTCTGAGTGTGGACATTGTTATAAATAAGAGAGCCTGGAATCTCACCTCTTATTCCTACTCCCACCAGATACTCTGCCCTCTGCACTGGAGAGAGCAAGAAGAAAATCCCTGGGAGCTTTCAGACAAGGTGAGTTTGCAGGTGGAAATTCTTTAAATGATGAGAAAATTCCTGTGAAAACATCCTCATGGGATTGTCATTAAGTTACCAACCAAAGCCAGCTACCATGGTGCTCTCAACCCTAAATCTCACCAACTGATCAGTGAGGAGTCCCAGGGGTGCTGCATGGCGCCCTGTGGACACTTGGAGAAACTCTGGTCTGTGGATTTGTGATGCTAAAGGGGTGAAGTTAAAGCACACAAAGAACGACACCTTCAGGCTCAGATTTCACTACTCAGTTTCAATATGGGGTTGGTTTCAAACAATAAATAGGTTGAAAGGCTGAGAGCTGACTGGCTTCCACTGTATCAGTTTGTTCAAGGGAAGAAACTGCTGGATCCCCAAGGGCTGTTAAGTCTAGTGCAGGCCTGGGAAAAATACAGCCCATGGGCCAGATCCACCCCACCAAGCCATTGGATCCAGCCCACGGATGTCATTCCCCATCTGCAAGTCACTCAGAAAGTGACTGTGAACTTGAAGGGGGGAAGGCTTCAGGCGCTTCTTCCACCCCCAGGACAATCTCACTGGCTGGATTCTGACCAGAAAAAAAAAAAAAAACACTGTGCCAGCTCCCCTCTGGATCATAATTATTCTCACACCCACATGGCACTGCAGCCTGTGAGAAGGTTGAGCAGGCTTCCTGCCTGTCTGAGGTGCTTGGCCTCTGGCCAGGAGTCACTCAGATAAGTCTCCTGTTCAGAGTTTGCCTCTGACACCCCAACCTCTCCCTTCCCCTCCTAATCTCTGCTCCTCCTCCTGCAGCTATGTATGCAAGAACTCTCAATGGTCAGAAACCCACAGCCCTTTATTTGTCCACTAAGTCACTTCTCTAAATTAAAGTTACTTTAAATATCTAATGAGTAGTTGGCTAATCCAGTGTCCTATATCACCCCAAACGCTTACTCCAAGGGTCGTCCTCCTAACACGCATCCCAGGTCCTGCATTAATGTCATGTAAGAGTGCAGCTCTCAGCCACTTTCCATTTGGTCCCCCATCAAAATGAATTGCTCACCCCATCGAGTGGATTAGCACCCACTGAGCTGTATAAGTGAAAGCTGAAGCCAGACTATTTTAGACTAGAAAAGAGGCACAAATATTTGATAGTGAAGAGGATTTTCTGTTGAAAAAAATGAGCAAAGAACTGGTGGATTCTCCATCTCTTGATGTCTTCAGATCACTGGGGGACTTTCTAGAAAATACACCGAGAAACAGAGCTTTCTGCCTGGGTAACTGAACTGAGTGTAATGGCTTGTGCCACAGAGAGGGTCAGACTGCATGACTAAGGATATCTTCTGATCCCATGAATCCATTAATTTTAAGATCTCACCCTGGAAACAGCACACATAATAATAATTATCTGAATGGTGGTATTAATTTAATTGATTCTGTGTTGTGGAAAGGGTTTATAACGTCTGTCAGATGAGAGAGCAAAGTTTGTGCTGCAAATCCATGAATGAAGACTAAGGGTTTTAAATACAGCAGCCTATATTTAGCCTATGTCCATGTCCAGGCAGATGAATACGTGGCTTGTTATCAGAAACACTGGGTGCTGAGAACTAAATCCCATTGTTGCAGACACAGTAATGTTGTAACTCAAGCCAGGTACGGAGAGAAATGAATATGGATTTGGGATCTAACTCCTGTGCGCTGTTTATAGAATATCTAGACTAAAGCTTTTGCCCACAATGGAAGAGTCTGTTCCTGGTGACATGTGCTAGAGTCTGGGCAGAATGGGGGTAAAAGGATTAAAGCCCCTTCTGACATGTCTCCAATTCCCCTTCTCCCCATGCCAGGTTGCAGAACACCCATGTCTGTCTCCAGCTCAGCCCCTGGCCTGCAAAGCCAGGGACAGGAAATGACTGTGGTGGAGCCGGTGAGCTTCGAAGAGGTAGCTGTGTATTTCTCTGAGGAAGAATGGGCTCTGCTGGACCCGGGCCAGAGAGCCCTCTACAGGGATGTGATGCAGGAGAATTATGAGGCTGTGAGCTGGCTGGGTAAGGATTCCTGTCCCCTTTGGTAACACCAGCTGGGTGCAGTTGGATTGGGTTTGGTTCAGCGTCATTCATTGCCTCTGCCCCCAAGGTCAGGAGTATCTGCCCCGATAATCCTGGCTCTTGTGTGAAAGACTGTCCCCTCCGTATCCCCTCCCAGAGAAAGCAGGTTCCGGGAGATAATGGTGCTGCTCTTCCCACAGCTAAAGTCTCAATGTGCTTCCTTCCTATCTTGCCCATTTTGTGCCTTGAGTGGATGTTTGAGTAGAGAAGCTCAGGCAGTAACAGCAAGTACCAGAGTTCTGGGTCTGGCTGCTCTTAGTGCCTACAGGTTCCCCTTGTGGCAGTGCGGTGAGCCAATGGAAGGAGGGTGCAGGTACCAGTGTCCTTCCCTACCTGTAGCTAATCTCTGACATGCTGGTTCTTGCCAGTGGGAGGGGCTGGATGCTGGGGCTGAGGACGGGTGGACGAGGCAGTTCATGCTCTGCAAGTATTTTGTGGGAAGTGGCTCGGTAGTAAATGAATGTGAGTAGAGCTCTCCTTGCATTTCAGGCACAGGCTGGGTTTCCTTACAAAAGTTCAGTTTCATTGCCTCTGGGGCTCACTTGCCTCTGCGTGCAATGGAGGTAAGTCATGTCATCTGTGTTGTCTTTTTAGAGTGAAATATCTTCAGATAGGGACTTTTTCTTCCTGTGTGAATGTCTGACTTCATGCTCAGGAGACCGGTGTTCAGTTCTTTGCCCGTCTCAGACTTCCTGTGTGACCTTAGAACCATAGAGCTGGAAGAGACTGCAGAAGGTCATCAAATCCAGGCCCCTGCTCTGGGCAGAACCAGTCCCAACTAAATCATCCCAGCCAGGGCTTTGTCAAGCCAAGTCTTAAAAAACTTCTAGGGATGGAGACTCCACTACTTCTCTAGGTAACCCTTTCCAGTGCTGCACCACTCTTAGTGAAATAGTTTTTCCTTATATTCAACCTGGACCTCTCCCACCTCAACTTGAGACCATTGTTCCTTGTTTTGCCATCCATCACTACCGAGAACATCCTTTCTCCAGCCTCTTTCGAACCTCCCTTCAGGAAGTTGAAGGCTGCTATCAAATCCCCCCTCATTCTTCACTTCTGCAGACTAAACAGACCCAACTCAGTCAGCCTCTCCTCGTAGGTCATATGGTCCAGCCCCCTAATCATTTTGGTTACCCTCCGCTGGACCCTCTCCAATGCGTCCACTTCCTTTTTGTGTGGGGGGCCCATAATCTATTTTCCTCTACACGTATGGACTGTCTGCGGTTTTCGTTTGTACTGATGGGTACATATCCACACACCACCTCAATATTGGTGTTGGACATAAGACATTTCAACCTGCCCAAAAGGAAATTCAACCTGTGCATGGATGTAAAGTAGGAGCATTGATGAGGAGGGGTTGGTGCTTGGGCTTACCTGCTGGTGATGGCGAAGGGGAGGCCTCCTCCCCCAGCCACAGCAGCTCTGTGCTAGGGCTGGCATTGATGGGCTCCTCTGCACCAGCAGTTTCAGGCATTGGGAAAAGATCTCTCTCCCCTCTGCAGCTCTGAGCTCCTATTTAGGGCTTATTGGGAAGCCGTGCAGCCATGCAGCTTAGGTCCCCATCCTTTAGCTGTGCATGAGAGTTTTCTGTCCTAAGTGCAGGACTCTGCGCTTGTCCTTGTTGAATCTCATCAGATTTCTTGTGGCCCAATCCTCCAATTTGTCTAGGACACTCTGGACCCTATCTCTGCCCTCAAGTGTATCTACCTCTCCTCCTAGCTTAGTGTCATCTGCAAACTTGTTGAGGGTGCAATCCATCCCCTCATCCAGATCATTAATAAAGATGAACAAGATAGTTCCTAGAACTGAACCTTGATGCACTCTGCTAGTAACTGACTGCCATCCTGACATCGAGCCATTGATCACTACCCCCGGGCCCAACCTTCTAGCCAGCTTTCTATCCATCTTGCCGTCCATTTATCCAATTCACATTCCCTTAATTTGCTGGCAAAAATGTTGTAGGAGACGGTATCAAAAGCCTTGCTAAAGTCAAGGTATATCACATCCACTGACTTTCCCATGTCTACAGAGTCAGTTACCTCATCATAGAAGCTTATCAGGTTGGTCAGGCACAACCTGTCCTTTGTGAATCCATGCTGACTATTCCTGATCACAGGGCTCAACAAATAATGCTATCTACTCGCCATGTGAGTAGATTGCAACCTGGAAGAGCCGGGTTCAGGCGATCTGTGCATGCGCAGACCGCTGGACAGCGCAGCTGGCGAGCAGAGCTCGCTGCAGTTCGTTGAGCCCTGCTGATCACTTTCCCCTCTTCCAAGTGCCTAAAAATGGATTCCTTAAGAATCCCTTCCATGATTTTTCCAGGGACTGAGGTACGACTGACTGGCCTATATTTCCCTGGATCGTCCTTCTTCCCTCTTTTGAAGCTGGGCACTACATTTGCCTTTTTCCAGTCCATCCGGGATCTCTCCCTACCTCCACCACTTTTCAAAGATAATGGCCAAAGGCTCCTCAATGACATTTGTCAACTCCTTCAGTACCCTCAGATGCATTAAGTCCGGACCCATGGATTTGTTTTTCCTAAATAGTTCCTAACCTGTTCTTTACCCCCCCAAGGGCTGTCCATCTTCATCCCATCTTGCATCACTTGGTGCATTAGTCTGGGAGCTGACTTTGTCCGTGAAGACAGAAGCAAAGAAAGCATTGAATACTTCAGCTTTCTTCACATTATCTGTTTCACACCCAGGGACCCCACGCCCTGTCTGATCACCTTCTTCTTGCTAACATGCCTGTAGAAACTTTTCTTGTTATCCTTCACATCCTTTGCCAGTCGCAATTTCAATTGTGTGTTTGCCTTCCTGATAAGCCCCTGGCATTCTCGAGCTATACATTTATACCCTTGCCTGGTCACTTATCCAAGTTTCCACTTTTTGTAAGCTCCCTTTTTGTGCTTACGTTCACCAAGGATTTCCCCTGTAAGCCAATCCGATCTCCTACCATGTTTGCTTCTCTTGTTATGCATCAGGATGGTTTCTTTCTGTGCCTTCAGTCAGGCTTTTTTAAAATACTGCCAGCACTCCTGGACTTCTTTCCCCTTCATGTTAGCATCCCCGGGGATTCTGCCCATCAGATCTCTGAGGGAGTCAAAGTCTGATTTTCTGAAATCCAAGGTGTGTTTTACTACACTCTTTTCTTCCTTTGGTCAGGATCCTGAAATCTACCATCTCATGATCACTGCTTCCCAGGTTGTCACTCACCTCTACTTCCCCTATTACTTCCTCCCTGTTTGTGAACAGGTCAAGCTGTGCATGGTCCCTGGTTGGATTCTTCAGCACTTGTACCAAAAAGTTATCCCCAACATTGTCCAAAAACTTCCTGGATTGCCTATATACTGCTGTATTGGTCTCCCAGCAGATGTCAGGGTGATTAAAGTCCCCCACAAGAACCAGGGCCTGCGATCTGGAAGGTTCTCTCAGTTGTCCGAAGAAAGCCTCATCTACCTCATCCACCTGATTCTGTGGCCTGTAGTTGACCCCAACCACAACATCACGGCTGTTGTTTGCACCTCTAAACCCATAGACTCTCAACAGGCTTTTTTCCCCCTCTATATACTGGAGTTCTGAGCAATCATAGTGCTCTTACATATAATGCAACTCCTCCTTTTCTCCCCTGTCTGTTCTTCCTGAACAGTTTATATCCTTCCATGGCAGTGCTCCAGTCATGCGAGTCATCCCACCAAATCTGTTATCCCAATTAAATCATTTTTTGTCTGGGCCAGGGCCTCCAATTCTTCCTGTTTATTGCCCAGGCTTCTCATATTGGTGTACAAACACCTCAGATAACCAATTGATCGCCCTACCTTCTCCATTCGAATCAGGGGTCCTCCTTTGTTGCACGTTCCTCTTTGCATTTCTTCCCAGTATCCGACTTTCCCACTCCTCAGGGTTTTGATCACCATCCCCCAACAAACCTAGTTTAAAGCCCTTCTTACTAGGTTTGCAAGCCTGCCCGTAAAGATGCTTCTTCCTCTCTTTATTAGGTGGATCCCATCTCTTCCTAACAATCCTTGTGCCCGGAACAGTGTCCCATGGTCGAAGAAACCAAAACCCTCTCTCCGACATCACCTGCGCAACCACGCATTTACTTCCCCAATTCGTTGATCCCTGCCCAGTCCTTTCCCTTCAACGGGGAAGATGGACAAGAACACCACTTGTGCTCTGAATTCTTTGATCCTTCTTCGCAGTGCTACATAATCCACAATAACCTGCTCATGGTCATTCTTGGCCGTATCGTTAGCTCCCACGTGGAGAAGCAGGAAGGGGTAGCGATCCGAAGATTTGATCAGTTTTGTAAGACTCTCAGTCACATCCTGAATTCGAGCTCCCAGTAACCAGCACTCCTCAGTCCCTCTTAGGAGAGACTCCACAACCACCACCACCCATCATCTTTTTTGGGGGGTGGTGGTTGTGGAACCCCCATCCCTAGGACTATGCATCCCATGCCTTCCAGTAGATGGTGTTCCCTTCCGGTTTCTTCCTTGTGAGGTCCCTTCCAAAGCATTCGCCACCACAGAGTCTGTGGAGGGAGCCTGAAAGTGATTACTTACCTTTATTGCATTGGGGGATTCCTGTGCTGGCTTTTTTCCCCTTCTAGATGTTGCCTGCTGCCAGTTCTCTTTCTAGTCCTGTACTGCCCTCTTGACTCTTCCTTCTGCTGTTTTTCCAGGATTAAACACTGCCTTCTATCGAGGAAGTCTTCATCCTCTCTGATCGAGCATAGGGTCAACACTTGGGCCTCCAGTCTTATGGGGTATGTCTACACTTGCTCCCTATCTTAAGATAGGGAGGCAAATGTAGGCGGCCGAAATTGCTAATGAAGCAGGGATTTAAATATTTTGTACTTCATTAGTATGATCTCGCCCATGTGCTAGTTCGAATCACAGGTGGCTGGAACTAGGAAATGTGCACCGGGACGTGGTA